AATCCTACTCAATCTTTTTTGAAAAACGTACAGGGACTTTGACCAGATTTTGGAGAAGCTTTGACAATTCATAAAAAATTTAATCTTGATCAGAATCAGCTCAAACTTAATATACAACATAAGAACATGTATATCTATCAGAAAAAAATTATAAAAGTGTAGAATTCTCTCCTCGTCACTTTTGACAAAATTTGGCGAGATTTCTAGCAACTTTAAAAATTCCTTAAAAAATTCAAACTTGATCGGAATCAGCTCAAACTTTCTATGCAATATAAGTATATGTATGTGTATCAGAAAAAATTATATAAATGGAAAATTCCCTCCTAGTCATTTTTCATAAAATTTGATTTTGGAACAATTTTGAAAATTTGTACAAAATCCAAACTTAATCAGAGTCAGTTAAAAATTTCTACCAAAAGAAGTACATGTAGATATACATTAGAAATTGTAATAAAAATGGAGAACTTTCTCCAAGCCATTTTTGATGAAATAATTATCATGGTACATGTATTATCAAAATGGGAACCCTCAAGTTCATTGGTGACACTGAATTTGCTCCAGGCAAGTGGATAGGTGTGGCATTAGATCACCCACAAGGTAAGATCCATTATTAATCTCCCCAATAGGTAAAAACGATGGCAGCAATAAAGGCATGACATATTTCAAGTGTAAGGATAAACATGGCGTGTTTGTATGGAGGGACAAGATGATTCCACTCATTCACCAAAGAGCCTAGCAAGTGCTGCTTTCCCTACAAACCTAAAAAGATGAGCATCTAACAAAATCGTCAAATTTGCAGAATCGCAAGCAATCAAAATTAAATAATTGACTTTTCTTTATCTTTGTCCATCGTCTATTTGCATCATAATTTGTTATTACAATAATTATTGTTATTCTTGTTTTGCTGTTTTGTTGCTGTTTTAGAATATACTTCAGCTAGCATTTCCTACAATGTGTTTCTGATGATTATTTTGTTTATTTAGCAGTTGATGATGTCATAAATTCCTTTAGTCATTGGGCAAGTAGTTTGATAGCAATGATGAGAGAAGCAGTGCTAGTCTTTGTTTTATGTGTTCTGTCACTATCAGTTGCTCAGGATTGTCCTCTACCAACAATAGCTCAGTTAGAGGCTGTATTGCCTCCTTTACTAGTCATTATTGATGGTAACCAAGTGTACTCTCCTAATGTAACTGAAGGATCAGTTCAATATGTCTGTCTAGCTCAAGGGGACATGATTGATACTTATAAAGCCATAGCTCTTATAGCTACATTCACTCCTAACCCAGGAGAACCTGAACAAACTATGATATTTGATATTGAGTGTAGCAGTGGTACGTGGAGTGGAAGGACTGGTAGTTTAGATCCTCCTCCTCCCAGTGTTGTTGGTGTTCCTCCAAGAACTGATTGTTATCGGTGTCGGGAAGGTTTTGGTGGTGATACTAGATGTAGAAGTAAGCCATATTAGAAACTAAAAAATAATAATGTTATCTTATGTAGCATGTGACAGTGCTTGTAATTCTGGACTGATGAGGTGTACTGGATCAGGCTCTGGTGATTGTTGTTTATCATTTGCTGCTAGTGGTCAGTGTGATGGTAGCACTGACTGTACATCATCAGGTCCTAACTATGTTGCTACTGAGAGTAATAACTTCACTTGCAGTAAGTATTGCCATTGCTATACTATTATTATTATACTTTATTATTAGCTTGCAATTTAACCTGTCCTGATGCTTATATTGTTAATTCTAATTGTACTGACTGTGATTTCCCTAGTATTTGTGATAGAGACAGTCCATGTATGAATGGAGGACAGTGTATACAGTATTCACCAGCTATCAACTACACTTGTGATTGTGCTGGCTCATATACTGGATATAATTGCTCAGGTATTATATATTAGTAAAAATTTAAGTTTACAGTTGCTGCATTAATTGGCTAGTTATTATATGACATTACTACCGTATAGTGGGAAATTTTGGAGGGAGTAAAATTTGGCAAATTGCTAATTTTGGTGATTGGCGGATTTTAATTTGGCAAATTTGTGGCCACGTATCATTGAGCATGCGTATAATGGCTCAAAATGGCAGATTTTATTTTGCCGAATGGCTATCAAAACACCAATTCGCCAAATTTAATTCCCTCCAAAATTTCCCGCTATATGCTATTCATTTATTAACAGACTGTGGTCTATCCTGTCCTGGTGGTTATACTGTTAATTCTAATTGTACTGACTGTGATTTCACTAGTATCTGTGATAGAGACACTCCATGTATGAATGGAGGGCAGTGTATACAGTATTCACCTCCTGATAATTATACTTGTAATTGTACTGGCACTGGATACCAGGGAGTCAACTGTACTGGTGAGTACTACTGACAATTGGACATGTACTGATCCACTCACTAAAATGTATTTGTTATACCATGTTGGACTCTTGTGTGGGCTTGTTTGCTTTGCACTGTTGCACTATGTAGTTTATGCACTTTTTTAGTGTTATCTTGCTATACACAGCACTGACTAGTGTATGTTTGCATACCTACATGTAAATGCAATTAGGTATACTTCATTATGAAGGAAGTCATAATTCATTGACTAGATAAACATGGAGAGTTTGGTTACATGTAATTATTGGCAATATTTTGAATTAAATTCAGTGATAGAGACAGTCCATGTATGAATGGAGGACAGTGTATACAGTATTCACCTCCTGATAATTATACTTGTAATTGTACTGGTACTGGATACCAGGGAGTCAACTGTACTTTTGGTGAGTGCTTTGAATGGAAATGCATTATCCAATCATTAAAATGAATGTGTAAGGACTCTTTTGTGGGCTAGTTTGTTTACTTTGCACTGTTGCTCATTATCTCCCCAGCTGCATGCACATGTTATTATTTAGTCTACTCATATATTCAACATTAACATTTTTAGCATAAGTTATAAAACACAAAGAAGTAGATTGCATATCTTATTTCATTCAATGTTTTGGCAAATAGACTTCTTCCTGTGTAATTTTATGGCTTTATGCACTTGTTTATTGTTTTGTTGCACAGCAATGACTATATGCATTGCATACCTTAACTTACATGCATGTATGAATGGAGGACAGTGTATACAGTATTCACCTCCTGATAATTTTAATTGTAATGGTACTGGTACTGGATACCAGGGAGTCAACTGTACTTTTGGTGAGTGACAGTGAATTATTTAACATTCATTATTGTTTTTTTATTCTCTTGATAACAGCATACTTTAAATAATTTTTTTCTCAATTATAGACTTGATTCTTTTCCTCTCTTTACATCTCACAAGTTCAATTCTCTCTTCGTCTACTTTTTCCTTTTTCTCCTCCACATATGTGGTATCTTCAACTCCTACTTCCTCTTCATATTTCTCTTCCTCATTTGTGTTTACTTCATCTGCTATTTCCTCTCCTTGTCCATGCACCTGTGAGTTACAGTAGACTTTGTAATCTTTAACATTGAATTTGTCCATACACTATATACAGTGGTATTATTGTTGTTATATATGCATTCCTTTAGATCTTGTTGCTAATTGTAGCATGGAAACTATAGCTAGTAGTGATCGTGGTACATTTGAATGGCCAGAGACAATGCCAGACAGCACAGTTAATATATCATGTCCTAATGGTCCTAGTGGTGCTTCTGCTAATAGAACATGCACTAATAATAATACTTGGGAATCACCTGGCATAGAATCCTGTGCAACTACTGTGATATCTAATCAATTTAGAAATATTTCAAAGGTAGCAATAAAGACTTAATATGTACTTGTCATACCGTAATTTCTTAAATTGTATATTCAATAGGTAAATGTTACTGCTGAAAATGTAGTATCAGTATCTGAGAACTTAACTGATCTAGTGGTCAGCACTACTGATGCTGCTGATCAGAATACTGATAACATTAGAACAGTGTCTGCCATATTGGACCAAACAGCAATACTGCTATCAAATCCTATGATAATCATGAATCTCTCATCATCACAATTATCAATGGTATAGGACATGTTTGTCATTAAATGATTTCTTTAAAGACAACAGAAAATACTGTGCAGATACTTGACAGCATAGAGGAATGGTCACCAGCTGTAGTGGAGATTGAGTCAAATAAGTAATACTTATTTTTATGTTCACATGTACATGCTTACTTTAATTATATAGCATTATCAATTCTTTTGAGAGGATCATTGATGCTTTAATAAATCAAGACAATTTTACCAACGTAACAGTTGTGCAGAATGACATTGCTTTAAAAGGAGAAAGTGTAAGTTCCCTGCTGTGCTTTCTTTTTGATTTTTTGTTCATTTTATAGTTTCAACAAGCAGTGTTTAATGGAATAGAATTTACAGCAGCTTCTATTGGTAAGCATAGCAAAATTTTAAATCTATATTAAACAAGTTGAATTATTGTGCCATCTATATGTCATGATTGCCATCTATCATTAATT